TATGTGGGACATAGAATTGTTTGGAAGTCAAGGTCAAGGCGCGCAGCTCAATTTCAAAGATAAGTGAAGCTCTGCATTTACCTGGATATTCTTAAGTAATTAATGCCTGTTTTTACTTGAGTCCCTTTTAAAAGTCGCCTTTCAATATAAGGTAAAATATTTTCCCAGTTTTGTTTGACAGTCTGGCAAAATAGTCGTATTTTGTAAAAAAATCCATTGTAGTGAATCCTTTCCCTACTACCGCTCTCTAGTTTTTGTAGTTAAATAACATTAATACTTGCTACTCAGTGCGCTTTTCCGTACGTTGGAAACGTTTTTATCCTTCTTCTGTAACGAAAAACTTTTTTGTCTGTAATGCCCCGCACAGCACGTGCTAAAAGGCGAAAGCCTGCGGCCTCCCCACCGTCTCTGGGTGCTAAAATCGTGACTGAAGACATAGCAGGTGCCAGCGTATGTTCTTCGCTGTCTGCAGATCTGATTAACTCACAAATCCCTATAGTACATGTAGAACCTCTCGACCCTTCAGTCGTCCAAAAATACGCCTCTGCTAGTCGTAGCAGGCCATCAGCCGGCGAAATAGTCCATCAGCTGATTTATGGCGACATAAACAGTACTTCTGAAAAAGTGCTTGAACAAGCTTTTAAACTTATTGGGGTAATAAGTTCGGAAACTGAGGAACGAATTAAGCGCAAGCATAATTTCGTACTGCGAAACATTCCGAGCCACTTATCTGCTATGGAGGGAGCGCATGTGTTCCTACAAAGTTGTGGCTTGAGTTTCAGTGTCGCACAAGCCAAGCGACTTCGCTCGCTTAGCCGTAATGCGCCGATATTAGTTGCCCTTTTCTCCATGATAGAAGTCGATATTATCTTGTCGAGTAGGGAGATGACTAGAGACTTCTGCCGTAAATGACGCTGCTCCGTTTCGCCAGACCTCACACCCCTGCAGCGAAGACTGAATAAACTAAAATCGGCAAAAACCAACACCAAGATAATGACACCTACTGTCAGTCTGAATATGTCCTCTACAACACCATCTGCGGCATCTGCAAGTCACGGCATAGTCAATTCCGTAGGGAGTTGGACTACTTTTAATGCTGACCTCTTTAAACACACCACCACGCCTGGTATAAACACGCCTCTATCGACTCTCCCAGCAACCCCTAGTAAGCCTAAGCATGTGTCGAAGTCAAAAGCAAATCCAATTGCTGCCTCAGCCAATCGGACACCCGATATATCCAGCACCATTATAAAATGTTTTCCTCCACAATCGGCTAACAGTGCCTCAAATACCCCGACTCAAAACGTACCGTGTTCCCAACTGCCCCCAGCCCTCATATCGAGGCAGTTAGGCCGAATATGCCGATTTTCCCACCGTTTAATAGACCTCTTGTTCCAATGGAAGCAATGCGTCACCCACCCCCTAACCTGTTTCCATCACGGCCGTTTTATCAATGTATTCGTCATGCTAATGTCCATACTGGACCGGTTAACTCATCCGATCTTCAGTTTCGTTCCGGCGGGAATGTGTTGCAGTATCTGTCCCGCAGATTTCCAGCTGAAAATAAGTTAGCTAACAATAGTTACCAGTTTACCTGTCCGTCATTCCCTCCCCCAAGTCCTACCCCTTTTTATCCACGCCAGAATTTTTTGATGCCACAAATTTTTTTGCAGAACCAGATGGTTGCATCCGGACCGTTTGCTCCGTGGGCGACCCAGAACTGGACGATGTAGCCCACCTCCCTCAAAAACTAACAGCCTTTCCCTTCAAACTTTTTGTTTTAAATGCCAGATCCTTGCTTAATAAGATGCCTTTGCTTCAGACTCTGGTGTTCGTCCATTGTCCTGATATTGTTCTAGTAATTGAGACGTGGGCATCAGCCTCAGTAGCTGACTCCGAACTCTCTCTTCTAGGCTACAATTGCATTCGAAATGATCGCCAAGATAGCCGTGGTGGGGGCAGCTGCGTCTACGTTAAGCAAACACTTACATGTTTGCCGTGGATTTCCCGCACTTTTCCGCAGTAGAAGGCAGCTCTTGGCTCCAGGTTGCACTAAAAAATAAGTTCTCCTTACTCGTTGGCTGCGTCTATCGCCCTCCCAACGCCAATGACAATTTTGATCGTTTACTCTCACAGGCATTTCATGCTGCGACCGACTTAAGCTTTAAGTATCAATTGGTTGCGGGTGACTTTAATCTCCCTGAAGTCCGCTGGCATTCGCCTTCAGGCCCCAGAAGGTTCGATGACTTTCTTAAGGCTGTGGATGTTGGGATGAGGAATCAGGTTGTCGATTTTCCCACCCGAGGCTCAAGTATACTTGACTTAATTTTCTGTAGAGGCTGCTTACCATCGTCAGTGTCATCCCTAGGCCCACTGGGGGGCTCAGACCATGACATAGTTGTTTCAACGTTGGAATTCGAGGCTGACGAAATGTCGTCCCAAAAGTATAACATTTTCCGCGATTTCCGATCAACTCGCTCAACCGAATTATTAACACACCTTAATTCCTATGACTGGACTGAGTTCTTCCTTAGTTCGGATGTGAATGTTTGCACTGCAAAACTGTACGAAATATTGGATGCGCTTATTTCTCGTTGTGTCCCCCGTAAGAAAATTATTAATGTTGGGGATGAGATTTTCCTACCCTTACCCTTTCGTCGCAGATTGCGCAGACTTTATCGTCGTTTCCATCTGCAGAACGATGTTTCTGTTCTGCCCTTGATTTGTGATATTTTTGATCGAGCTAAGAGATTGTCTGAAGAAAAACAGCTAGCCGAAGAGGTCCAGTTTACCGAAAACCATTCGTTACATGTCTCGAAACTTATCTTTAGAAAAATACGAACTCAGAGAAAGACGCAGTATGCCATCCTTCGAGACGATCTCGGAAATCCCATAGTTGATGCCCAGTTAACCGCGGATAGCTTCAATGATTTCCTGTCCAAAACGTTTATTGAAGACTCGACCACTCCGCTTCCGACCATCCAGTCATTGACCGGAGCAGTTCTAGAAACTATAACTTTCACTCTGTGGGATGTGACTGTTGCGATTCGGTGTTTTCGTCAATCTTATAGTCCAGGCCATGATGGCGTCCCAGTAAGCATTTTAAAAGCCGATGCAAACACGATCTTCCCATCCCTCTTATGCAAGATATTTAATCTTGCTCTTGAAAGTGAAACTTGTCCTACCTTGTGGAAGGAATCACACATTTTGCCCATTCCTGAGCACGGCAAATCTACATCATTTGATGACTTTCGGCCAATAAACACCCTCCCTGCAGTTTCGAAAATCTTAGAGACATTGATCAAGGATAAGATGATGTGTCACCTAACAGAGAATAACCTAATGAGTGCGGCTCAGCATGGATTCCTCAAAGCTCGATCTTGTGACACCTGTCAACTCTCTTTCTTTGACTATGTTCTCCAATCTAGGGACCATGGTTTTGCTCTTTACACAGTATATTTCGATTTCACTAAGGCTTTTGACCGTGTTGACCATGCTCTTCTCCTATTGAAATTGTCCTCTTTTGGAATAGCTGGCAAACTTTTGAATTTTATTTTCTCTTATTTGGGCACTCACACACAACGAGTTAAGATTCCCAATACTCTCTCCAGCCGCACACGTGTGAGGAGTGGATTCATTCAGGGTAGTGTACTCGGCCCGCGTTTATTTTGCCCTTTCGTTAATGATGTACCCGATTTCTTTCAGAATGGTAAGCCTTTCATGTTT